GCCGCTGAAGACCCGGAGCGCGGAAAGACCCCCCCGCCGCAGAATTGCCGCCCCCCAAATCCTGGTGCCCTAGGCGACCATCTAGGTTGCCTAAATGGAAGCGCCGGCCCTGTTTATATGAGCTCTAGAACTTTTAATTCAACAGTTCTGTGGGAGCAGCAGGAGTGCTGTTCTCAAAGAGCACATTTTTGGCTGCGCCAAATGGTAAGTTGTAGAAATGCCAGTATATGGTGTCCTGGAGACCCTGGAAGTGCTTGTTCTCTAGATCCATGATGGACATCTGGCTCATCTTCTGGGCTTTCAGAAGCCCAGAAGGTGAGCAGATCTCACAAATGCAAGCTGCAGTAATTCTAACCCCATTCATGCCAGCAGACATGTTGCATATTGCATTAACATTCCACTCATGGCCAAAGGGCAAATGTGGATTGGTAGCATTGTTGCAATGGCACATCACTAGAGTCTCCAAGTGGCAGACTGCATACAAGATTTCTTTTAGTTAGAAGAGCAGGACATGTGCCATCTCTGAACTGCAGTTTACAAGCTGCTAAGGTGAGAAGTAAATGAGACCATAGATTCTCACGCCCTCTGGTGTTTAGAAAAGATAAAGTTTATTAAAGTACCAGAGAGACCTTACTATCCTGCCTGGATTTGCAGCGGTTGCATTAAATGCCCAGGTGTGGGAAAGAGTGGGTGATTACTGAGGTGGTACTCAATCTCTAAGTAGCATATGGGGTGGGTATTCAGTCTTTCTCTGCTTTGGTAGCTCCTCATTTGTGGAGTGGCCTGGTTTTCAGCTCCAGAGGAAGCTGCTCATGTGCCTTGAGCTGCAACAACTGTAGCATCTAGGAAGCAAGGAAATAGTTGCCCTGCCATCTAGTAGCCTCAGACCAGACCAAGCAACTGTGTGCCAGGAAGGCTTCTTGGGGGAAGTCTGATTAAGTGGAGCTAAATCTGAAGTCTGGTGTACAGTGCTGCTGGTTTGTGGTCTCAGGGTGGGGGAGAAAGTGGGCGCTGCCCCGTATTAACTTGCTGTGCTGTCCTAAGTTCCCAGAGGGGAGCTTGTTAGCTGAGCTGAACTCTTGCCAGCATATGCTATAATTCGCTTCTCTTTTCAGGAGCTATTAAGTTTAATGATAGCTTGACTAAGGAGGAGAGCTGCCAGCTTATTGAAGCTTTGTCCTTTTGCCAGCTGCCTTTCCAGTGTGCTCATGGGAGACCTTCCATGATGCCACTTGCAGACATAGACCACCTGAAGCAGAAAAAGCAGGTACAGTGTGAAGTGCTGGGCAGAGAAAGGCAACAAACCCACAGGGTGGGTTGTCTGAAAAAATGCGTTTAATCTTGCTAAGCGTTGGCGTCAGGTTTCCAGTGGAGTTCATCAAAGTTCGCTTTTGAG